CGCTATTAGATAAACGATTCCAATTTTTTTATGAGAGGCTCGTAGCCCTCCTTCCTCTTTCTCTCTCTCTAGCCCACAGTCTGAGAAGTTTAATTGTAAAGTATAACCGCTGATAGATGTTTCCTTAACTAAATTCGTAGTAAACCAGTGACCAAAGAGCCGTGAACTCTTAGAAAATGGTTATTGATTATCTTCATCAATTCTCTGTACTTAAATGATGTGCGTGGTACATTGTTTGGATGCTTGATTATGGATGTCTATCCTGAATCACAATTTTGCGGATTGATACATTTTCATAATTTTCAGCTACATATGATGCTTGTTGAAATGCCTCGCCTGGAAAATGTCTTTCGCGTTTCTGAGCTGAAAATGTTCGTCAGCATTGGAGCGAATTATGTTAAGGTCGTAGTCAATATTGCCACTTCTTCATACATAATCTCTGCATTTGTCGACTTTTCCGAGTCGTTTAATTATAAATGCGCTGAAATAAATGTACATTAGAAAGTAGTCATCTTCAGACTCTTGTCGGAGAGATGAATATTTCTTAGAGAACTCCTAATGTACAATTGAAACAATGAATGAGCACTTCAGCACGCTGTTTTAATAAAGCTTCTGTTTTCACACAATTACGAATAGATTTAAGGTAGTACTGAGGACAGCTAAGCAGATGGTTGAAGCTCTCTTCGTCTTCTATGTCTACGTAATTTTTCGTGATTCTGTGAATCTGATCGAGAATTATCGCACAGATGTCGATTTCAACAACTGCTTCATAACCAGGTGATTTTTATCGACTACTTTTGCTACAGAGATGAGGTTGTAATGGTTTAAGACGCAATGTATACGGTGATAAGCAAGACGCTGGTTCGATCCCCTCTATCATTACCCTCTTGCAATGCAAGCGTCTCAGTATGACTACTTTCAAGATCGCAGAGAGAATTGGCTCGACCAGCATTCTGCGACTCCCTGAGAATACAAATTTCTCGAGCAACCAGCCAAAGCAACATGTGAGATGTTCGACGATCTCCATGGAGGATGATTGTGAGGAAACGAATTTGATGCAAGAATTGCTCATATTCACGCAGTAAATTGTGACGGCGGATCGAGTGAAATAAAAGAACTTCTAACAAAAAGAGAGGAATCTATATGATATCAGCCAAAACGATGCACAGTAGACCGCTGACATCAATCAAGATGTTTACACAACATATTTCATCATACTGAATCCAGGTCCACGCAGTTTGATTGCTCACGAAGTATTTAAATTCTACAGGTTAGCTAATGTAATGGACTAATGCAAAAATAGTATTATTCATATTAAAAAATCGGGCTGTACAACAGCCCTCCAACATAATTATGAGATATATTGAAATTTGAGCGTGGTCTTAATAAAATACTCGAAATAGAAGGTATAAAATGCAAAATATTAACCATGAGCAATCGAGTGTGTCGAAAATTGCCGATCTTGTGATTTTTCTTTGACGGCGATTGTGTAAATCTTTCGTCGTCGTCTATCGCTTTATAGGGGGATGTAAGAGCCTCCGAGAGGATTGGTTAAAGACGAAGGGCCTACCCGACTGACAAGGCTGCAAGACCGAAACACGTGTATTGGGCTGTACAAGAGCCCTTTAACAGATCACATAATATCTTGGCTTTGAAAATAATTATGTGATATATTGATACAAAAAGGCTATTTCTGTATCATTGACTACTTTTATAGCCACTTAACTTAGAAAGAAGCCGCATCTAAGCAAAAGCCACGATAGTCGAGATAAATCTTCAATTAATAACTAACTATAATCATAATAGGGAGTACATAACTTGATTTATATCATGTTAAGTTAAAGACCATCGTTAATTCATGCAATTCAAATATGCATTGCATGATTTCTATCGTGCCGTGCAATTGTTGCAAACTTCCAGTCTCGACCTGTCGGGTTCCAAATACATAGTTTTTGATGCAGCGATTTCTGCTTTAAATCTCAGTTCATCGAAACTTACTGGAATGGCTTCGCATCACAATACAAATTTGGTATATATGTGACAAACCTATCTGCCCACTTATCCACTCAGTTTACTGATTTGATCATTCTTACATTATCTGCAGTCACCAGCTCTACATATACCTCTACTAATATGTTCATTTATCAACAGCATAAGTTCAAAGCGATTCCTCAAAACAACGTGCAAAAACACTTGAGAAAAGGATTCACGATACACAGTTGCATCGCAGAGCATAAATTCTATTGTCAACAATAACCACTTTTACAAACAATTGTTTATATTGCTCATTAGAAAACATTGGCGTTGCTCCCACTACCAGTAGGCTTCGCTTCGTCTCTTCTCAAAACCTATATCTCAGTGACTACAGAATCCTCTCTAGTGACATTAAAAGTTTGAGTTTTGGTACGAAACCGCAACAATATCACGTAGCGCGTTTTGACTGTCGATCGACTAAGCCATGTTCCAGGCTAAAAGTTAACGTGGTACCCCTATTGTTGGTTATCTCGGATTTGATAAAGTTAGGTATTTCACATCGTCAATCATCACTAGAGATGAATGAATGTACATATAACCTATGGAATAAGCTGCCAATGTATCAAATCAGAGCTGCTATCCTCCCATTTAAATTTGTTACTAATTTAAAGACTCTCCAAAAAATCGAAGGTCTGCTGAATCTGGGGAGTGGGGTCAAATCAAAAGCCACACGCGATCACTCTATTTCTAATACGCTAGGGGAAATCGGACCTCAATTTTTATGTAATTATTCGCTCACGATAATGATATTTTTTTAGTATGTTCTGGCAGATTGATCACCACAGAGAAATGCTTGGACAGCAAGCTATCCGTTTCATTTCTCATGAAGAGATGAAAAACTGGAGGCTTATGAATGTTTTCAGGTTTTTTTTTTGCCAGTATCATTTATCATAACTTAGCAGCAAATATATTTGCCTTGTGTTTTGCACTGCGAAACAGGAAAATGCCGGAAGGTTTTTTCTGAATCGTCGAAAAGTGCTATTAGCATGGCTAGCAATACCTCGTCTTCGGAACTAAATCAATTCCAGTCAATCGTCACTTAGTGACCTCTACAGAACTGCTAACTGTTTTGTTCTCGGATTTCAGCAAACCGACTACTGCCGAAATGATTCGCGCGAAAACCTCCCTGATAACATGGTTCATCACAGCATGTTCTGCAGCGTTGCTGATTTTCCTCGATTATTACTTCTATTCCTTTCTCAATGCGGTATGATAACCTCTATAATTTTGCTTTGTTTTAATTCTTTTCCCTTAGACTGAGAGAGTTTATTTTCTGAAGATTTAAATCTGTTGTCTTTACATAACGAGAATTTTAATGTTTTTCCGCTTGTTCTGTTCTCCTTCAAACGTCAATGATAAATGGGGCTGAGTTCATGTGAAATGTCAACTAGAATTTAGAGATCTATTGCACTTACTATTCAATGGCAAATAGACTGCTTGCTGAGCATGAATTTCTATGGGAACTTCAGATAGCCAGGCGCTTCCTGGTCTTCACTGTAAGAAGCCGTCAGTCCTCGATGCATGGAGTGAGGAAATGATCTCGTGATTCAAATTTCCTTTGACGATTGGGATCTTCGCATTTGGACAGTTGCTCAATTAGTGCATCAGCATCCATTGCTTACTATGAAAGGGAACTATTTGAAACTTTGACACATATAATCAATGCCTTCAAGAATCATCAAGTTAACACAAGATTGATTCTAAACATTTACTCGGCTGAACGTTCTCAATTCGCCCCCACTTCCGAGCCGCGTTCATCTGAGTTGATGGACCATAACTAATTGATATTGTGACGTAGGTGTTGTGGCACATGGATTGGAATTCAGTAAAGGAATCCTTGTTCATACAAATCTTCAGTGAAAGTCGCTTTATAAAATATCACCGCTTCACGTAGTTACCGCTCCACATATCAGCGTTGTATGAAGCACCGAGTCCCATAGTATATATGGCCAATAGAAAAGCAGATAATATTGTATTACTGGCCATGGATCACTATCCTTCTTCTATAAAAGGACATAGTCACGTGTAAAAGCTTTATTCGAATGGTGCTTTTCATTGGAATCGGCTTGATGTAATACCGAAGACCCACACGTGACGATGATCAGCTGGGTACCACCTACTTCAATCAACGCTATTTCGAGGAAAGAGAAGACTCTAAACATCAACCGAAATAAGCTTTAAGCAATCTCGAGTTTAATCTATAGTCCAGAAAGTAAAACAATGTTATTATACGTCTCATATTACCGTATCTCAAGACTTCAAACAGTCAGTGATAACGAAAACTTTTTTGTTAGTTTATTTCTCCACAGAGAAGGAGTTTCTCTCAGTCCTTCACTTGAGGACCGCTGGTTCTAAGTAGAACTGAGAAGGTTTTTTAGGTAACAAACAATGATTTCATGCGCATCATCAAGAGAAGAACGCTTTAAAGATCAAAACAATCTAGTCTTCATCCTTCTAAATTGATCGCCTTTCTTAAATAAGAATATCAAATAAGTTGACAGATATTGGGTATCAATAATCAATCGGATTCCATTCATTTGAGCGCCTTTTTGCGGTGGTATGCTCTCTTAATATACCCGATAATGTAGAGCGCTGTGCAAATCTGCGTCAGCCGGGATTCGAACCCAGATCTCACTCTTTCCGGGAGCGTATGCTAACAGTTGCACAACCGACGCTCGTTACTCATAGCACTCGTTCTACGATGCAACGTGTTACCTGTTTACAGCCAACCGTCGACGGTTTGGCGGACCAGCCGCTAACGGTAGTATTGAACCCACTTTTGTTGACAGATATTGGCTATCAATAATCAATCGGACTTCATTTATTTGACCACCTCTTGCGGTGGTATGGTCTTATAATATACCCAATAATGTAGAGTGCTGTGCAAAAACATTTGCGTCAGCCGGGGTTCGGACCCTGTTAACAGATGACTCGTTGTAGCGTAGAGCGAGTGCTGTGCAAAACGAGCGTCGGTAGTGCAACGGTTAGCATACGCTCCCGGAAAGAGTGGACCAGGGTTCAAATCCCGGCTGACGCAGATGCTTTTGCACAGCACTGTACATTATTGGGCATATAATAAGACCATACCACCGCAAGAGGCGGTCAAATAAATAAAATCCGATTGATTATCAAATAAAATCATAAGATCAACTGCTTTTTAAAACCTCGTGATAAACATTCAAAATAATTCCGAAAAAAGAGATGTTTTAAGCCTAAACGAGGTTGGTACGCCAGGGCCATACACCGGTGTTTCGGAGGTTTCGGCCTCCTTGTCAGTGACCCTCGTCCCACATTATATCCTGCATTGTAGAAAGAAGGGAGGCGTATGTGGTGATGGCATAGTGTACAATGACACTGGTCCATCACCACAGTTTAGTCGATGGATTTCGGCTGGTAGACCAAAATCGATCCATAAGATCGACTGTTTTTTGAAACCTCGTGATAAGCATTTAAAATAGTTAAAAAAAAGAATTTTGGTCTACCAGCCGAAATCCATCGACTCAACAGTGGTGATGGACCAATGTTATTGCACACTATGCCATCACCACATACGCCTACCTCCTTGCTACAGTGCAGGGCTTAATGTGGGGCAGGGGTCACTGACGAGGAGGCCGAAACCTCCGAAACACCGGTGCATGGCTCTGGCGTACCAACCTCGTTTAGGCTTGAAACATTCTTTTTTTCTGGAATTTTCAAATAAGTGTTTGAAACAAGGAGACTGCGCGAAGGAAAGTGTTAGGTGAATTACAAGAGAACGCGCTTTAGATAAGTGCTCACTTATGATCAATGAGATTATTTGAAGTGACTTTAAAACCATGCACATTGTACCTAAAATGGTGGCGTAGATGCTAAGAAAGAAAGAGACCGTAATATATGTACTGTCGCAAAACAAATTAAAACAGAAAATGAGCTTTTCTCATGAAAAGATGAAATATTGGCCGCTAGAGTGGTCTACGCAATGATCTCCATTGAATGAGAATTTCTTCCAAGTGGAGAAAATGAATGGTAGTGGTTGTTGTGAGATTATCTTTCTTCAGGTTGTATCAGCTTCCCATACAACCATTGAACAACTGAGTTCTTCTAGTGCAGCTATCGACGTAGGTCTTATTTGTGCTCACTGTTGTTCTCTCACGTATTTTGAATCGCTAATTCAACATAGATGCTCGCTTCTCTTAATGAGCAGATAGGTTGTCAAAAGTAACATTTTTGTTTGTGTCACAAAAAAAGTGTGACATAATAAGCGAAGTAATAGACTAATGTCTGACATTTCGACGGTCTCGCCTCCTTTGGAATTTGAATAGGTCAAATTTACAAGCAATCACTCAAACAATCTGGTAATCTCAGCAAAAACCACTCTGATATATTTTCACATCGCAAAGTGACAGCTTCTTTGAACACTCATCGTTTTGCTTTTTCCAAATCTTTCAAATGTAACCATAATTAGAATATTTGAATGCTCTTACAATCAAAAATTTTTCCTTGTAAGCCAGATGCGAAGCTGCTATAATACGATTAATTCATAAGCTGACATTTCAACAGTTTCGCGTTCTCCAGAACCGAGAAGCATCAGGATGCCCAGAACCCACTCAGCCAAACATCGCCATTACTCAACAGAAGAAATTACCCAACCTCGATTTTGATCGCATCAAGCACAAAGCAACTTTTCAACATACCATCCTTTACGAATATTCCCTCAAGTTATGCAAGTGGCAGAATACCGTCCAGATGCCACATGGACTGAGAATGCACCTCCATATCAAGAAGCGGTCTCATATATAATAATGCGTCATATCATGTGTGATAACGAAGTAATGCTTTTGAGGTTCACGTTTGAATTTATGGCGTTTTCCCCAAAATATTCCTAAAATCTAACGCATTGGGACTCTATGTTCCTGTGCGGAGATAGTTTACCTCTTCTTCAAAATTCTTCCCGTTATATGTCTGTGTCCTCCCAGTGGAATGTTGATTTAGCTTTGAGCCCGCAGACTGATATTTTTCTCCACGGACACAGAGCGACCTAGTCATTTTCTCGATGTATCTGTCGCCGCGCACTTTACAAGAGACTGGGCAAACTATGCATGTCCTTATGCAATCACCGTCTTTATCGTGAGGGCATAGTATGCATTCTTGCTTCGTACATAGACGGCCTTGTAGCGGCTGTGAATTGGCTGGACCCTTACAACAATCGATGAAAATCTAGTCATTGTTACCTATTTCTCTAGACCTACCCTAAAACAGCGTTTGATGCGTGTTTCGTTTTGAGAAACGCGGGATAAACGGGACTCTGCCTTTGCTGAAATTATCATTTCGCGACTTATAAAATTCACTGAACCTCTCTCGAGAGGATACGTGTTCGTATCCATTGGAAAAGGCTGTTTACCTAGCCAGTGCTAGACATTATACCTCCGCTGTTCTCGTACACATTCTGGATGCTGTTTACAATATGTTTACTAGAAGAGCCTTCTTTGTATTTGAGAGATGAGAAGAGAGATAATGAACAGTATATTTTGTTAATTGGGTCACGGTACCATTTGGTACTGTAACCGTTTTCGGGCAGTTCAGTTTATACACTTGACAAATGAGAGCCAATTTTTGGCATCTTATAGCTAAATTCTGTATATTCTATCTGTTTGTGAATTTGCAGGCTCTAAAAGAGGTGAAAGCGGCGAAATATCAGCTTATCGAATAAATCATATAATAATAACCTTGCGTTTTGCCTTTAAAGAGAAATATGCGATCTACTAAAGAATGCTGGGATTAATGAGAGTTGGTCTCGGTATGTTTGTACTGAAAAAATTGAAGTAGATGAAGGTGAGTATATCGAATAAGGTGGTCTTCTGCGATCTAAAGAGACGTCACAGATTTTCTTCTGCTGAGAAAATGAAACTGTTTTATTAAGTAAATGACATGTCAATTTGACCTTTCATTGCACTGAGAAGATGCATTCTACTATTAGCAACCTTACATCTGCTTATCAAGAGAAGCGCTGAATTCTCCAATCATTGCCGGCGTTGTTGGATAGTCGCCAACGAAAGCTGTTATCTTATCTAAGTTCATTGCTGATAAGCGCTTACCATGCCAAACCTGCTGAAGCTTGGTTGCTGGTAGCCACGATGGTTTGCATTAAAGAAAAGTGGTAGCAAAGCGGTTTCATCGATAGCGTAGTGATAGCCACGTTACCGGTATGAGTGACACGCGAATTCAACTCGCCCCTGATGTCAAAGAATTTGCGTTCCACCGAACATTATTGAATGAATTGATTCTGGCCGCTTGAGCACATACCACGCAAATCATTTGCTTTAAGAAACTCAGAAAAAGTGAACTTTGTATTTTTTTGAAGCTTTAGAAAAAGGCGGCTCACACCAACAAATCGCATTGCTATAAATTTTTTCTTTTAAAAAAGTTTTTAAAGAGCCTATACACGGTGGGATTTTGTACCCATCAAGATGTGATCAATCGTTATACAGTCAGTCAAAAAAGTTCATATATATTTAAGGCATATGCATATATATAGATATATACATATATGTATAAATATAAAGTTTCCTTACAGGTAGAAGGTGACGGAGTTGTTGCAAACCTCATACGCTCAATGGTTGCCGAAAATCGCACGCTAGAGGTGGATAGCGTAAGTTCATCTGAATTGTTCCATTATTCGAAATACATCTATAATCCATAAAAGGCGTCTGAAATTTCAGAGCATGAGCAACGCTCATTGCCTACTGCCGCCACAGCAACCAGACTTCCGTCATATCCTTACTTGGATAGCGATGCCTCTATTTCTTTCGCTTCTTTCTGCAAGTAAGAACTCTGCGATAATTTAGTCTGGCTGTACAGTTAGACCACGAGACTATTTAGGTGATTTTTTCCTTCATTGTAAAACGAATTGTTCTCAATCACTTCTTACCATTTATGTTTCCCCTAAGAGATCGTGTTCGCATTATTCATCTCTATAACAAGGTTAGTTATGATCTATGTTTAGTGCAGTTAATATCTCAAAACTGTTTATGTGCAAAATATCTAGATCTCGAAACGTTCTTTTTAATCTGATCACAACAACTCTTCAAAATGCATGCCAAAGCAATCCTAAAAAGTTGTGCTTCAACAAAAATTTTGAGGTTCTATTTCTAAGAATCAAACATCGTACGGAAGCAAGAGCTCGAATCCGCTTTTGTGTTGAGAGATGGAAGATCAACGAAGATAATGATGAAGGGTTTGGACGCATTCCTTTTTGACCTCATAAGAGTCATTGAGTAACTTGAGCGAATACTAGTATGTTTTTCCTTGCCCAGGTATAAGCTCACTTAATCTTACCTGAACCTCGCTACTGGAAATGCCAGACTCATTTTATTATGGAAGACCCTACTGGTTATACTTTAGAGAACTGAGTGATGAGCAAAAATACGACTTCAGCTGGGAGTCAAACCCGAGTTTCATCCATAAGCGAGACGCGTGCTATCACTGCACCACCAAGCTACATTTGCCCCACCACTCATTTTTCAATATCTTCGTAAGGGCTGTCAGTCACCAACATTATACAGGTTCGGTCGAGTATGCGATTTCTCTTCAATAAACCCAGCTGAGCTGATAGCCATTGTGATATGTAGTACTCGAAATTTCTAGTAGTTTTAATGCCTTTTTTCGCAGTGGTATCATGTTTAATATATACCCTAGATACTTGAGTGGTAAGCAAAAATAGTAAAAAAAAGGCAGTAAAACTACTAGTAGTCTCGAGTATTACCTATCACAGTAACTGCCAATTCAACTGGGTTTATAAGGCGAAATAGCATATGCCTTGGAACCATTTTTGAGCCATGCATGTCAGTGGTCTGTCAATGAGGGCTGACTTATAGAGCCCGATACACGTGCTTCGATCTTGCGATCTCGTCAGTCGGGCAGTTACCCTTTCTCGTCTCTTGCTATTCCCTGTGGGTGCTCCAGTCCCCACACTAAGAGTCAGCGACGACGAGCGCTTTGCACTGTATGTCCAGTGAAAAACTCACCAAACACAGAGTGTTGTACACTCGTTTGCATATT